TGAACGCAGCAGACACTGGTGAAATTTCCAAGTGAAAACCCTCTCAGGTAGATGGGTCTGAAGAGTTGAACCACACTGAAGTGATAACAGAGCAAGTTTTAGAAAAAAAATCCAGAAATTAATGCTAACAAGTCACCAGGAATGGATGACATTCACCCAAGAGTTCTGAAGGAACTCAAAGATGAAATTGCAGAAGTGCTGGGAATAGTATGTAACCTATCGTTATAAATGGTCTCTGTGCCAGAGACCTGGAGGGTTGCCAATATAATGCCCACCTTTAAAAAGAGCTCCAGAGGTGACCCTAAGAACTGCAGACCAGAGAGTCTCATTTTCATCGTTGGCTTGTTGGTAAAGTCTATAATAAAGAATACAATCAGACTTTCAAAAAGCATTTGACAAGGTCTCTCGACAAAGGCTTTTAAAATAAACCACACTGCTGTAGGATTGGAGGAAAGGTTATTTTGTGGATTTAGAGGTGGTTAAAAGATAAGAAGCAAGCAAGAGATAGGGCTAAATGATCACTCTTGAGGATGGAGGGAGGTCAAAAGTGGGAGTCCACAGGGATCTGTGCTGGGCACTATATTGTTCAACATGTTCATCAATGACCTAGGAATGGAGGTACACAGTAAAATTTCCAAGTTTGGAATAATCATCTGAAATTTTTACCACCTCATTATTTGCTCTTTTTACCCAATCATATATAATAATGTACTGAAGAACACAGGTCCCTGAAACACCCTGGATGACACTTGTTTACCTGCTTTCTATTGTCAAGAGTAATCTTTAAGTTAATAGTCTTGCAAGGTAATAATATCTTAAACTGAAAGTTATGGTATCACTGTTTCCTGCCCCAAATAAGCTTGTGAAACATAAGGCTTAATTAAAGGAAAAGGCCATGCTTACTCCATTAACATTAACAGTAAACTCTCTCTTGTATTTTTCCTTTTCTTGAAGCAGTTGAACAGAATAGTTAAAACATCTGAGGTAATATTAGTGAGGATTTTAATTTCCCTGATACCTGCCGGAAAAAAAGCCCAGCAAAACAAAATGTTTCAAGCCTGTTATTAGTAAGCTGTAAAGGACAGCTTACTTACTGCTTCATAAAGGGGATGACACTACTTAGTGGTCCTCTAAGGAAGAATGGTTGTGACAATAATGGTGATAGGAAATTGGAAAAGGAGTCTAAGAAAGTCTGAGGAAAGCAGAGCATGAGACTAATGAAGTAAGGACCCTAGATTTCAAAGAAGCAAAGTTCAATAAACTTTGGGGTTTGGATAGGGTCCTATGGATAGATGGACTGAAGAAAATCCCACATATGGTTACCTGGTTGAAAAAAGAAGCTTTTGTAGTCTTAAACATGTCTAAATTAAACATATACGGACTAATTCTATCCAAAGGAAGCTGCTTTTCTTCCAACTTGACAAATAAGGTAGCAGAGGGTTAATGCTTAAAACTATAATGAGATTATAAATTATTTTAGTCCGGGCATGCCTACATGTACACTTAGATGCAAACAAATTTAATGTGCATTAAGCAATTTGTGACAGGTGTCTACAAAATCAGAGACTTGGGACTAAAGTTAGTCCCGAATTCCTTGAGCCCTACCATGTGCCCCTGTGGCCATGACAGGGAGTTCCAGCCTCCAGCACCATGGCTGCTAGCACCTGGCAGCCATCTTTAAAACACTGTGACCTCTGGGCTGACACTTCCTGTGATGAGAAAAGCAGAGTGGCACAGACAAAGGCAGCACATGGTAGCTCTGCTTCTGCCCCAGCTCTGCCTTTGGCCCCCAGAAACAGGGTCCCCTGATCCTCCTGGCCGCTGCAGCCATCCTTCTGGCCCACTTCCATCACCAGTGACTGGCTCACAGCCACCTTGGTCCTCTCAGCTCCTGCACCCACAGCAATCACCAGGACTATAACCACCCCATGCCCTCCCAGAGCTGTGCCACCAGCCATGTCCAGGACACCACCTGTATGGTTGCCATTGCCTCCTTTCCCTCCAGCCCCACTGCCTCTGGGTCCACCATACCAGCCAGGACTGGTGGCAGCACATTGAACAATGCAACTGGGATAATGAGCTATGGCTTGATGCCTTTAGAATAACCCAGGGCACCTTTGACCTCCTGTACCATCTCTGGCCCCACCTGGAGTGCCAGGTCCTCCCCACCAACACACGCCTGGCTCTAATACTGATCAAGTTGGCCACTCCCGGCAGCCTATGGTACTTGGCCATCTGTTTGGGGTAGGCAAAGCCACTGCTGGGGATGCTGTCCTGAAGGTGTGTCACTCCCTCCAGGACATGCTGGTGGATATGGTCCTCCATGCCCATGACCCCCATGTGGTGGCTGCAGGGTTCTGGGCACTGGGGTTCCCCCAGTGCATTGGGCCCCTGGATGGGACACACATCCCCATCATCTGCCCACCCCACTCAGGCCGTCCCTACTATAGCTGTGGGGGCTTCCATTTAGTGATCCTCCAGGCAGTCATTGACCACCAAGAAACTTTCACACATCAAGGGCAGTGAATATCAAGGGCTACAGGCTGTACAGGAGGGACAGGACAGGGAGGAAAGGCAAGGGTGTGGCACTCTATATTAAGGAGGAATACACATCGTCATCAAGTAGCACAGAGTCAGAGGAGGGGCACACTGAAGTGCTCTGGGTTAGAATACAAGGCAGTTGAGGGGAAAGACGGGGGGTCTACTACAGACCACCCAACCAAGGGGAAGAGCTAGACCAGGAATTCTTAAGTCAGCTCACGGAGGTAGTTAGGTCAAAGGATGTGGTCATCATGGGTGACCTGAACTTTCCAGACATCTGCTGGGAAGAGCAGGCAGCCAGGTCTGACCATTCATGTAGGTTCCTAGCCAAAATGCAGGACCTCCATCTAACCCAGGAGGTGCACAGTCCCACCAGGGGAGACACCTTGTTGGACCTGGTGCTGGCCACGGGCAACGACCTAGTGAGGGGGCTGCGGGTGCTCAACCACCTGGGCAACAGTGATCATCGCCTGCTGCAATTCACCATGCAGAACAAGGTGGCAAAGGCCTGCAGCAAGGCAGCAGCCCTAGATTACAGGAGGGCAGACTTCAATGAGCTAAGGAGAATAGTCAGGGAGGCACTGAGGTCCCAGAGGGGAGGGGAGCCAGATGTCCAAGAAGAGTGGTTGCTCCTTAAGGAGATGATCCTCCAAGCCCAAAGGGA